TATAATACTTATCAACTCTAGAATTTCTATTTGGTTCCTTTTATAAATAATTTATATTTTTATTGATATTCTCTATTTGGTAAAACACTGTTCTCACTCTTTCCTTTAGCTGTAGTTGCATTTAGTCCTTTGAACATACTTAAAATAGATTTTTTAAAGTTTTTGTCTAATACACCCAGGATACTTCAGGGGCAGTTTCTACTGACTGCTTTCTTCCCCTATGTATGGGCCATACTTTATTCTTAGCAAGTTTTTAAATGTTTTGTTGAAGCTAGACCTTAAAAAATGTGGCATAATGTGAAGATGGTCCCTCTTCACCCGGATTCGTTGTTGTTATGTGTTTGTTTAGTGACTTTATTGAACTAATTCTTAAAGGCTGTATTCTTTGTTGACTGTGGTCACTGAAGTCTGTGCTTGGTTATCTTAGTGGTCAGCACATGACTGAAGAGAGATTTCTTTACATGCATAGAAATAATGTCTTTCAAGTCTTTGCTGAGGTGCTCCATGTACATATTGAGGCATATCCTCAACAGGTTTGCCTGGAAGTTTATAATTTATAACTATAAATCATAATTGCACCTTATCTTTTACTTTCTGCTTCCACAGACCCTCAAGATAGGTCAAGTGTGAGAGCTTAGTGTGTAAACACTGTTTGGCATACACACAGTCCTACAGATGAACATGGACTTTTAGAGTCTCAGGGATACATGAGAAATTTTCAAAACAACCTAGGTTGTCCCATTCCATAGGTGGCCTTTTCATTTTGTTGATGGTTTCCTTTGTTGTGCAAAAGCTTTTAAGTTTGGTTGGGTCCCATTTATTTTTGCTTCTACTTCTTTTCCCTCGGCAGACAGATTTAGGGAAATATTGCTATGATTTATGTCAGAGAATGTTTTGCCTGTGTTCTCTTCTATGAATTTTACAGTGTCATATCCTAGGTTCAGATCTTTAAACAATTTTTAGTTTATTTTTGAGGAAAGTGAAAGTCACTCAGTCGTGTCAGACTCTTCGAGACCCCCTGGACTATAGAGTCCATGGAATTCTGCAGGCCAGAATATTGGAGTGGGTAGCCTATCCCTTCTCCAGCGGACCTTCCTGACCCAGGAATCAAACCAGGGTCTCCTGCATTGCAGGCAGATTCTTTACCAATTGAGCTATCAAAACATCCCCTCAAACGGTGTGAGGGGATGTTCTAATTTCATTGATTTACCTGTAGCTGACCAGCATTCCCAGCCCACTTTTTGAAGATACTGCCTTTTCTCCAATGTATATTCTTGCCTCCTTTGCCATAGATTAACTGATGTAAGTGCATGTGTAGTACAATGTTAAATAGAAGTGATGGTAGTGATAATCCTAGCCTTGTTCCTGATCTTAGGAATAATGGTTTCAATATGTCACAATAAAGTATGACATTAGCTCTAAGTTTGTTATAGATACATTTCATGAGATAACATTACTTTTTATGGCTCTTTTGCTGGGAGATTTATCATGAAAATGGCTGCTAAATTTTATCAAATTACTTTTCAGGCTTTATGAGACAATTTTCTTTTTTTAATATGTAAAAACATAAATTCTTTTTATCTTGTAATAGCTTCAACTTAACAATTTCTACTAAAGCAAGATTTCCTATAAACTATTCACCCTTCTTCTAATATTAAAATCCTATATAACCATAATAAATTTTTAAAACTAGTAGTCTATATTAGAAATATATTGTTAATTATATAACAGACTTCATTCACATTTCATCAGTTGTTTCCACTTATGTTCTTATTTTCTGCTTCTTAATCCTATCCTGAAAATGACATTGCATTTTTCACCAAACTCATAATCTTCCCCAGCTTTACTGAAGCAAGATTGGCAAAAAAGTTTTTTATATATTTAAGGTATATAATGTGATGCTTCAATATGCATACATTGAGAAATGCTTACATCAATATACCATTGATACAAGTGAGGGGGTTAAAGTCCCCTACTACTACTGTGTTGCTGTCAATTTCTCCCTTTATGTCTGTTAATATTTGCTTTATGTATTTAGGTATTCCTGTGTTGGGCGCCGAAGAATTGATGCTTTTGACCTTGGACAGCAAAAAGATCAGACCAGTCAATCCTAAAGGAAATCAGTCCTGAATATTCATTGAAAGGACTGATGCTGAAGCTGATGGCCACCTGATGCAAAGAAGTAGACTCATTTGAAAAGACCCTGATGCTGGGAAAGCTTGAAAGCAGGAGGGGATTACAGAGGATGAGATGGTTGGATGGAATCACCAACTTGATGGATATGAATTTGAGCAAGTTCTGGGATTTGGACAGGGAAGCCTGGAGTGCTGCAGTCCATGGGGTCACAAAGAATCAGACATGACTGAGTGACTGAACTGAACTGATGTTGGGTACATATATATTTACATTTTTTATATCTTATATTTATCCCTTGATCATCATGTAGTGTCTGTCATTGTCTCATGTAAGTCTTTATTTTAAAGTATATTTTGTCTGATACATGTATTGCTACTTTGGCTTTCCTTTGATTTCTATTTGCATGGAATACATTTTTCTATTCCCTCATTTTCAGTCTTTCTTAGTCTTTAGATATGAAGTGAGTCTCTTGTAGGTGGCATATATACATGTCTTATTTTTGTATCCATTAAACCACTCTGTCTTTTGACTGGAGTATTTACTGTATTTAAAGTAATTATAGATAAGTATATCCTTATTGCTATTTTTTATTGTTTGGAGGTTGTTTTGTGGGTCTGTTTTATTCTTTTTTTTTCTCTTATGATTTGATGACTGTATTTGATCCTGTTTTCTTTTGTGTGTATTAATCTAGTATAGCTTTTTGGTTTGTGGCTACCATGAGGGGAAAGTGTATACACACAAACACACACACACACACACACACACACACACATATATATTTTTTAAGTTGGTTGATCTCTTACTTTCAAATGCATTAAAAACCCCGTGTGTATACTCTCTTACCCTCATCATTAATATTTTTGACATCATATTTTATATTTAGTGTATCTGTTAACTGCTTATTCTGGATATAGATGATTCTACTACTTTTAAAAAATAAAAAAAAAAAGTTTTTTAACCTTCCTACTAGTTTCATGTATGAAATGATTTCCTATTTTTACTATATGCTTGCCTTTACCGATGACCTTTACCTTTACTATGTTTGCCTTTACCTAAGAGCTTTCCCATTTCATAATTTTCATATTTCTAATTTTGGCCTTTTTATTTTCACCTTTATCATTATTTGTAAGCCCAGTTTGGCAGAACTGTACTGTTTTAGCTTTGCTACTCAGTAAAACTTTAGATTTTTCCATCAAATCTGAATGAGGGCCTTACTGTGTAAAGCATTCTTAGTTATATGTTTTTCCCTTTCATCACTTTAAATAAATCATGCCACTCCCTCTGGTCTGTAGAGTTTCTGCTCAAAATTCAGCTGATAGCCTCATGTGGATTCCCTTGTATATTATTTGTTGCTATCCCCTTGCTGCTTTTAATATTCTGTATCTTTATTTTTGTCATTTTAATACTATGTGTCTTGGGGTTTTCTTCTTTGGTTTATTACTGCATAGGACACATTGGGCTTCTTGGATTTGGTTGTTTCCTTTCCCAAGTTAGGGAAGTTCTTAGCTGTTATGTCTTCAAATACATTCTCAGCCCATTTCTTTCTGTCTTCACATTCTGGGACTCATTTGATGTGAATAATAATACACTTGATATTATATCAGAGGTCTCTTAAACATTCCACATTTCTTTTCAGTCTTTTGTTTTTCATTCTTTTCTGACAGCATCATTGATTTCCACTATTCTGTCTTACTACTCATTGATCCATTTCTCTGTATCATTCAGCCTACCATTGATTCATTCTTGTGTACTTCTCATTTCAGTTATTGGATTCTTTATTTTTCAGTTATTGGACTCTTCATCTCTGGTTTTTCTTTATATTTTCTAAGTCTTTGTTAAAAACATCAAACTTATCACTCTGAGCATCCATTCTTCTCCCAAGCTCTTTGATCATCTTTATGATTACTACCCTGAATCCTTTCTTAGGTAAATTGCCTATCCTTATTTCATTTAGTCCTTTTCCTGGGGTTTTATCTTTCTTCGTTTGAAACATATAACACTGTCACTTCATTTTGCCTATGTTTCTATTTGTATTTTTGTGTATCTGTTATTTTGGTTGCATTTCCCAACTCTGGAAAAGCGGCCTTTTGTAGGAGACATCCTATGCATGCAGTAGTGCACCACCCTCTCCTCATCCAAGCTATATACCTTATAGTTCCCCGCTATGAGTGCTGAATGGGTCCTTCTGTTGTGGTAGGCTGATGATGTGGGAATTCTTAGTTATATGTTTTTCCCTTTCATCACTTTAAATAAATCATGCCACTCCCTCTGGTCTGTAGAGTTTCTGCTCAAAATTCAGCTGATAGCCTCATGTGGATTCCCTTGTATATTATTTGTTGCTATCCCCTTGCTGCTTTTAATATTCTGTATCTTTATTTTTGTCATTTTAATACTATGTGTCTTGGGGTTTTCTTCTTTGGTTTATTACTGCATAGGACACATTGGGCTTCTTGGATTTGGTTGTTTCCTTTCCCAAGTTAGGGAAGTTCTTAGCTGTTATGTCTTCAAATACATTCTCAGCCCATTTCTTTCTGTCTTCACATTCTGGGACTCATTTGATGTGAATAATAATACACTTGATATTATATCAGAGGTCTCTTAAACATTCCCCATTTCTTTTCAGTCTTTTGTTTTTCATTCTTTTCTGACAGCATCATTGATTTCCACTATTCTGTCTTACTACTCATTGATCCATTTCTCTGTATCATTCAGCCTACCATTGATTCATTCTTGTGTACTTCTCATTTCAGTTATTGGATTCTTTATTTTTCAGTTATTGGACTCTTCATCTCTGGTTTTTCTTTATATTTTCTAAGTCTTTGTTAAAAACATCAAACTTATCACTCTGAGCATCCATTCTTCTCCCAAGCTCTTTGATCATCTTTATGATTACTACCCTGAATCCTTTCTTAGGTAAATTGCCTATCCTTATTTCATTTAGTCCTTTTCCTGGGGTTTTATCTTTCTTCGTTTGAAACATATAACACTGTCACTTCATTTTGCCTATGTTTCTATTTGTATTTTTGTGTATCTGTTATTTTGGTTGCATTTCCCAACTCTGGAAAAGCGGCCTTTTGTAGGAGACATCCTATGCATGCAGTAGTGCACCACCCTCTCCTCATCCAAGCTATATACCTTATAGTTCCCCGCTATGAGTGCTGAATGGGTCCTTCTGTTGTGGTAGGCTGATGATGTGGGAGGTCTGGAAGGCTTGGCTGGACTTTGGTTTGGTTGTTTTCTAGGCCCTGTCTTGTGTGGAGGCTGCCAGTAACTGGTTGGTAGACCAGTCATGAGGTGAGTGACTCTCAATCCCACTAATCCCAGGTGGGGCTAACGTGCTGGTTCACTGGTGGATGAAGTCAGGGTCAAGAAGACTTCATGCTGTTGCTCACCCACTGGTGGGTGAAGCCAGGTCCTAAGATCAGTACGAACCTATGGGCTGTACTCCAAATACCTTTATGAATTTTAAGATGCTTTCCGCAGATCCAATATTGGAATAATCAGGAAATTACTTTATTGTCAACTAACAAGATATCCTGCTATAGTATGATAACTCTTCATCATCTCCTGTCTTTAGTCACTAGCAATGGAGATATTTTCTAAAGGTCCTTTTCATAGCTGCTTTCACCTCATTGTTCTTCAGGCTATAGACAAGGGGATTCATTAAGGGAGTCATCACACTGTACTGTACAGAGAAGACCAACTCCAGTGGTGAGCCTGAGGTTGGCACTATATAGCGAAGGAAAGCTGAACAATAAAATAGGAGCACTGCAGTGAGGTGGGAAGAGCAGGTGGAGAAGGCCTTGCTTCTATGTGAAGAGGAGCTGATACTTAGGATGGTAGAAACAATGAGCGTGTAAGACAGTATGATTAGGAAACAGGTTCCCAGCCCATGCAGGAGACTGGAGCAGAGCAGAATAGTGAGACTGGTGGAGACATCAGAGCAGGAAAGGGGAAAGAGAGAGGGCAGCTCACAGCTGTAGGAGGGGATAAACTGATCCCTACAGAAGTCAAAATCCATAGCTAGAAGGATGTTGATGAATGCGTCCAGGAAACCCAGGCTCCAGGAGCCTAACACCAGACCTTTACAGAGCTGGTTGCTCATCTTCTGGCCATAGAGCAGAGGGTGGCAGATGGCAGCATAGCGGTCATAGGCCATAACTGAGAGCAGACAGGCTTCAGTGCCCCCCAAGTCAAACACAAAGAAGACTTGAGCTAGACAGGCTTCCACAGAGACTGTTTTCTTCTGAGAAAGAAGAATTTCCAGCATCTTGGGTACTGTGGCAGAAGAAAAGCAAAAATCTAGGAAAGAAAGGTGACTCAGGAAGAAGTACATGGGAGTGTGGAGGTGAGAATCGGCTCTGATCACCAGCATCATTGTCAGGTTCCCCAGCAGAGTCAGGAGGTAAATTGCTAGGAACAGCACAAAGGATAGCACCTGGACATGGGGGTCTGCAGACAGTCCAAGGAGAATGAACTCAGTGATAGCGCTGTGGTTCCCCAAGGCCATTTAAGGAAATCTAGTCTAGAAATAAAAAAAGGAACAGGGGATTATTTCAGCAAAACGACAGAGTATGGAGTGCCAAACTCTTATTCTACACAAACAACAAAACCAAGCAGAAGCTGTCAGGACTAGCTTTGCTGGTACTCTGGGAAACAACCAAAGGCGCACAGCAACCAAGTAAACGCTGAACCAAGAAAAAGGCAACTTAAAAATAGGAGGAAAGCTTTGTGGCATTTTTATTTCCCCTTGCCTAACCCTGTCCTAGGTCCAGTGGCCATCCTGAAGATGGCCTAGAGTGGAACCATGGTCTGAGGTCTGGAGGGAGCAATAACTCGCTCACAAATGAGTGTATTTTAATTCGTCTGGGAACTACCTGAAGGACCTATTCAAGGTGCTTTGTCTCAGTTTCACATGAAATCACATAGGGTTCAAATGTGGCCCATATTGCCCGAAAACATTGTAAGAGTAATGAGAAATCTGTAGCTGCCTGGGGCAAAAGATTATGATTAAAACATACAACAGACCATCAACAGACTGAGTAGAAAATCTAGAAAGAGAGTTTCTTTGGGAAATTAAATTAGAGCGTTCCACACTGGCTGTGTATACTAGGGAATTTTAAAAGCCATATGCATGTCCAGTGGCACTCATGATCAGAGAAGACCAGAGTCAATCTTACACTTTCACCTCTGGCTGATCCCTAGTTTCACTGCAAGTGGGAAAGAAGTCTAAGAATTATTAACAATCTATCTGGGAAAATACTAAATGAGTGCTTCGCATGGAGTGAATCTGCAAAGACTAGAGGAGGGTGGTGTTTTAAAATTTTTGCCTTTTAGCATTCAAAAAAATCTCTGGCAAAGTACTAGTTGAACACAAGCTAGAGGAAAAGAGACTTTATTGAGCACAAACAACACTGAACTGCTTTTGCAAAAATAAATTGGAAAATTTATTGAACAATAGTTGACTACAACCTTCAGATATCAAATATAGAAAAGAGTAAAAATCTAATTTTCAGGGTTATAACATTACGAAATTAAAATGTCCAGTTTTCAACAAAAAATCATGATGCATACAAAAGAAATATGAAATTATGGGCCATAAAAGAAAACTTAAATTGACAGAAACTGTCCCTGAGGCATCTAAGACTTTAGACTTACTGGACAAAACTCCCCTCATCCTCAGCTTTACTGAGATGTATTTGACATAGAATATATGTAACTTTAAGGTGTACAACATGTTTATTTCACACACACACATGTAAGTGTGTGTATGTGTATATATATGCACACATATGTTGCATATACATATGTTGTGTGTGTATATATATATATATATACATATGTTGCATATACATATGTTGCAAAGTGATTACCACAATAACATCAGTTAACAGATCCCCTCATGAAATTACCTTTTTTTTGTGTGTGGTGATAAAACTTAAAACCTACTATCCTAACATTCAAGTACACAATACAGTGTTGTTAATTATAACCACCATGCTGTACATTAAATCCTTTGAATTTACTTCTCTTATAACTATAAATTTGTATCCTTTGATCAAAATCAACCCATTTCCCCAACCCCTAAGCCCCTGCTAAGTACCATCTACTTTCTATTTCTATGAGTTAAGCTTTTATGATTCCACATATAAGTGAGATCGTTCAGGGTCTTTCTCCTTCTGATTCATTACATTTAACATACTGACTTCTAAGTCCAACTATGTCAAATACGACAGGATTTCTTCTTTTTGATGACTGAGTAATAGTCCATTATATATTTATTTAATTATTTGTCCATCAATAGACATTAAGTTTGCTGCAATATCTTGGCTATTGTGAATAATGTTGTAATGAACTTGGGAGAACAGCTGTCTCTTAAGGTGATTCAGTTAGTTATACATGCACATGTATCTGTTCTTTTTCAAATAATTTTCCCATCTAGATTATTACACAATATTGAGCAACATCCCCAGTGCTATATGGTAGGTCCTTGTTCATCATCTATTTTAAATATAGCAGTGGGTATATGTCAATCCTAAATTTCCAATCTATCCCTCCCCTCAACCCTTTCCCCCTGGTAACTATAAGTTTGTTCTCTAAGTCTGAGAGCCTGTTCCTGTTTTGTAAACAAGTTCACTCGCATCATTTTTTGTTTTTTAGATTCTGCATGTAAGTGATATCACATATTTGTGTTTCTTTGTCTGATTTACTTCAAGGATTATGATAATCTCTAGGTCCATCCATGTTGCTGAAAATGGCATTATTTAATCCCCTTTTAGGCTGAGTAATATTCCACTGTTTATACAAACCACATTTTCTTTATCCCTTCATCTGTCAATGGACATTTAGGTTGCTTCCAAGTCTCAACTATTGGAAACAGCACTGCAATGAACATCAGGGTGTAGGTATCCTTTCAAACCATGTTTTTCTCTGGATATATGCCAAGAAGTAGGATCACTGGATCATATGGTAGCTCTATTTTTAGTTTCTTAAAGAGCCTACATAGTGGCTGTATCAATTTATATTCCCACCAACAGTGTAGGAGGGTTCCCTTTTCTCCACAATCTCTCCAGCATTTATTGCTTGTAGATTTTTCAATGATGGCCATTTTGACTGGTGTGAGATGACATCTCATTGTAGTTTTGATTTGGATTTCTTTAATAACTAGTGATAATGAACATCTTTTCATGCATTTATTGGCCATCTGATGTCTTCTTTGGAGAAAGGTACTATGGTACTTTGCAAGATACTGTACTATTAGATTACAAACATTTTATTTTTTGTGTTCATTTTTATGTATTATTTGTGCAAAAATATTATAAACCTATTATAGTATAGTACTATATAGCCAATTGTGTTAGTTGGATACCTAGGCTAATTTTGTTGGACTTATGAACACACTCTTGGAATGGAACTTATTCTTATATAGGGGTCTTAATCATGATGGTGAACAAACTTGGAAGAAGAATGAATAATCACAGTGAGAAGTTTACAGAGTTGGAAAATATAAAGAGGAACCAAACAGAGCCAAAGAATATAATAACTAAAATAAAAAACACACTAGAAAGAATCAACAGTAGTTTAGATGAAACAGAGAAATGAACAAGGAAACTATAAGACAGAATAGTAGAAATCATGTAAGAAGAAGAGAGAAAAGAAAGATGAATTAAAAAATTACAGTTTAGGAGACATCAAGCATACTTACATTCACATCAAAGGGATTCCAGAAGAACAGAGAGACAAAGGGGCAGAGAAGTTATTTTGAAGTGATAATAACTGAAAATGTTCCCAACCTGGGAAAGAAAACAGACATTTAGGCCCAGAAAGCATAGAATTCAGGAAGAAAGGCAAGTACATCCATTAATGGCACTTTTATTCAACATAGTACTGGAAGTCCTAGCCACGACAATCAGAGAGGAAAAAGAAACAAAAATACGCAGTTGGAAAAGAAGAAGTAAAACTGTCACAGTTTGCAGATGACATGGGGGTGCTCAGCTGCTCAGTTGTGTCCGACTCTTTGCAACCCCATGGACTGTAGCCCATCGGGCTCCTTTGCCTATGGAATTTTTCAGGCAAGAATACCGGAGTAGGTTTCCATTTCCGACTCCAGGGGATCTTCCCAACTCAGACATGTCTCTTGCATCTCCCACATAGGCAGGCAGATTCTTTACCACTGCGCCACCCTGGGAAGCCTCTCAGAAAATCCTAAACATGTTACCAGAAAACTGTAAGAGCTCATCAATGAGTGCAGTAAAGTTGTAGGATACAAAATTAATGCACAGAAATCACTTGCATTCCTATATACTAAAAACAAAATATATCAGAAAGAGAAATTAAGTCCCATTTACCACGGCATCAACAATGAAAAATACCTAGGAATAAATCTACCTAAGGAGACAAAAGACCTATACTCTGAAAACTGTAAGATGCTCATAAAAGAAACTGAAGATAATACAAACAGATGGAAAAATATGTCACGTTCTTGGATTAGAAGAATCAATACTGTCAAAATAAATCTACAGATTCAGTACAATCCCTATCAAATTACCTATCAAATCACCAATGGCAAGAATAGATAATGGAGAAAGGACAGCCTCCTCAACAATCCAGGAAATTCAGACAGTTACATGTAAAAGAATGAAATTAGAACATTCTCCAACACCATACACAAAAATAAACTCAAAATGGATCAGAGAGCTAAATGTAAGGCCACCCACTATAAAATTCTTAGAGTAAAACAGAGGCAGAACACTCTTTGATACAAATCATGGTAATACCAACTCATAGAGTAATGAAAATAAAAGCAAACAAAAAACACAAATGAAACCTAATTAAAATTAAAGGCTTCTGCACAGCAAAGAAAACCATAATCAAAACAAAAAGACAACCCCAGAATAGGGGAAAATATTTGAAGAAATATCTGCAACAAGAGTTTAATTTCCAAAATATGTAAACATCTCATGCAGCTCTGTGTCAGAAAATCAATCCAATCAAAAAATGGACAAAAGATCTAAATAGATGTTTTTCCAAAAAAGAAATACAGACAGTTAAAAAGCACATGAAAAGATCCTCAGTATCATTAATCATTAGAGAAATGCAAATCAAACTACAATTGAGATGTCACCTCACACTGATCACAATGGCTATCATAAAAAAAATCTATACAAACAATATGTGTTAGACAGGGTGTGGATAAAAGAAAACTCTTCTACACTTGGTGGAAATGTGAACTGGTACAGCAACTATGGAAAACAGCATGGAAGTCCCTTAAAAGCTAAAAACAGAGCTATCATATAATCGAACAATCCTACTCCTGGGCATAAACACCTGGAGAAAACCATAATACAAAAAGATATATGTACCACAATGTTCACTGCAGCATTATTTACAACAGCCAGGACATAAAAGCAACCTAAATGTCCATCAACAGAGGAATGAATAAAGAAGATGTAATACATACATACAATGAAATATTACTCAGCAATAAAAGAATAAAATAAGGCCATTTTCATCAACATAGTTGGAACCAGAGATTGTCATATTAAGTGAAGCACAGTAGACAAAGACAAATATAAAATGATGGCATTTATATGTGGATTTTTAAAAAAGCATACAAATGAATTTATTTACAAAATAGAAATAGAAAATCAGATGTAGAATACAAACTTATAGTTACCAGGGTTTAAGGGGGGGAGTATAAATTGGGAGATGAGGATGGATATACACTACTGTACATAGAATAGATAACTAAAAAGGGCCTGCTGTGTAGCACAGGGAGCTCTACTCAATATTCTGTAAAGACATATATGGGAAAAGAATCTAAAAAGCATGAATATATGTATATATATAACTGATTCACTTTGCTGTACACCTAAAATTAATACGACAATGTAAATCAACCTAGAAAACAATGAGTAAATTCCTAGAAACATGCATTCTACCAGTACTGAATCATGAAGAAATTCAAAATATTAACAGAGCAATTACTAGTAGTGAAACTGAATCAGAAAAACAATTCACACAAACCCAAGTCCAGAACCAATTAGCTTTACTGGTGAATTCTACCAAATATTTAAAGAAGAATTAATGTCTATTCTCTATAAACTACTTAAAACAAAAAAACAAAAACAAAACAGATGAAGAGGAAAGAATACTTTGGAACCTATTCTAGATTAGCAACCCCTATGCCAAAATCAGAGAAAGACACTAGAAAAAAAAATGAAAATTACAGGTAAATGTCACTGATGGATATAAATGGAAAAATCCTCAACAAAATCATAGCAAACTGAATTTAACAATACATTAAAAGGATCATATACCATAGTCAAGTGGGATTTATCCCAGAGGTGCAAGGATGATTCAATATTCTATATATAAAATCATGTCATTTTTAATGAATCATTCCTCCTTTCCAATTTGGATGCCTTTTATATCATTTTATGGCCTAAATTCTCTAACCAGAACTTTTTCTTCTAGTTTTATTGAGATATAATTGACAAGCACTGTATAAGTTTATGATGTAATAATTTGACTTACATACATCATGAAATGACTCCAATAATAAGTTTAGTTAGCATCCATTATCTCATATACATACCAAAGTTAAAAGAGAAAAAATATTTTTCCTTTTGATGATGATTATTAGAATTTACACTTTTAACAAGTTTCAACTATACCATATAACAATCAATTATATTAATCTTGTTGTACATTATATCCCTAGTATTTATTGATCCTATATCTAGAAGCTTATACCTTCATCCAACTCCCTATCCCCCAATCTCCACCTCTGGGAACCATATGTCTGATTTCTTTTTCTATGAGTCTCCTTGTTTATTTGATTATTTGTTTTTGAATCATAATTGACTTATAACACTGTTAGCTCCTGGTATACAACAAGGTTAAATTTTTTTATACATTACCAAAATGATCACAACAAACCTAGTTACCCTCTGTTGCCATGCAAAGTGATTACATTGTTATTGACAACATTTTCAATGCTGTACATTTAATTCCTATGACTCATTTATTTTTTTATTTTTTGTTGACTTCCAAATTTTATTATATTAAAAAAAAGTTTGTTGATCTGTTGTGTTAGTTTCAGGAATACAGCAAAGTGACTCAGTGATACATTATATATGTATCCACTCCTTTTTACCCTGTAAGTCATTACAATGTATTGGATAGAGGTTCCTGTGCTATATATAACAGTGGATCCTTATTATCTATTTTATATATATAGTGTGCATATTTCAATCCCAATCTCCCAATTCATTCTGCACTTACCCCCTGGTAAGCATAAGTTTGCTTTCTACACACACACACACACACACACACACACACACACAGACACACACAGACACACACCCCGGAATACTATTCAGCCATTAAAAAGGATGAAATCTTGCTATTTGTAACAACGTGGATGGATCTAGAGAGTGTTAGGCAAAATTCAGTAAGTCAGATAAAGACTAATATTTTATTATTTAATTTATGTGGAATCTATAAAACAAAGCAAATGAAAAAGCATAACAAAACAGAATCATAGATACACCTTTGTTAAAAAGTGACTGCCCAGAGGGGAGGAGCCTCCCTATTGTAACGCTTATTTCTGCCTTGTAAATAAGTTCATTTGTACCTTTTTTCTTAGATTTCATATATAAGCAATATCATACTATATTTGTGACTCATTTATTTTTAACTAGAAGTTTGTACTTCTTAATATTCCTCAACTATTTCACTTATCCCCACTCCCCTCCCCTCTGGCAATCACCTTTTTGTTCTCTGTATCTGTGATTCTGTTTTGTTATGTTTGTTCATTTGCTTTGTTTTATAGATTCCACATAAATTAAATTATAAAATATTTGTCTTATCTGACTTATTGAATTTAGCATTAATAGTCTCCAGATCCTTACATGTTGTTGCAAATGGCAAGATTTCATCCTTTCAATGGCTGAACAGTATTCCACTGTATGTATATATGTGTGTGTATACATATTTATATATGTGCAACATATTCTTTATCCATTCACCTATAAACAGTCACAGGTTTCTTCCATATCTTGACTATTATAAATAAAACTGCAAAGACATGATTTTATATATAGAAAATCTCAAAGAACACATCAAAATTACTGGAGCTAATAAAAACTTTCAACAAAGTTCCAGGGCATAAAAGCAAACAGAAAAATCAGTTGTGTTTCAATAAGCCACAAATGAACAATCTGAAAAAGAAACTGGGAGGTATTTTTTTTTTTTTACAAAAGGATCCAAAAGAATAAAACACCTATAAATAAACTTAAGGAAGTGAAAGGGTTGAACACTGAAAATACAAAACATTGCTGAAAGAAGAAGATCTAAATAAATGGAAAGATTCCCTGTTCATAGATTGGAAGACTTAGCATTATTAAGATGTTAATAATACCCAATCAATCCACAGATTCAATGCAACTCCTATCAAAATTTCAGTGAGCTTTTCTTTTTGCAGAAATGGAAAATATAACATCAAAATCATACAGAGTTGCAAGGAGTCCTGAATAGCTAAAAATTCTTGAAAAAATTAACATAGAGGACTTACACTTCTTGATTTCAAAACTTACTACAAAGCTTTAGTTATCAGTGTGTTAGTGGCATAAAAATAAACTTATAGACCAATGGAACAGATCTAGAGAGGCCCGAAAGAAAAAACCTAAATCTATTGCAAATTCACATTGGTACCAAGCCCATTCAATAAAGGAAGAAGAGTTTCTACAACAAATGGTGCTGAGTCAAGTGGATATCCACATGCAAAAGAATGAAACTGATCACTATGCTCAAACCATATTCAAACATTAAATCAAAATGGATCAATAACCTAATTATCAATATTAGAGCTAAAACCATAAAACTCTTAAAGTAAGATATAAGAATAACCTTTCATGATTTTGGACTAGGTAATGGCTTCTTAGATATGTTACCAAAAGCATAAGTGACTAAAGAAAAACAAAGTTGACCTCATCAAAATTAAAAACTTGTATGCATCACAGCAAAGGAAATCAAAATCATTGTAAAAAGACAACCTTCAGAATGGGAGAAAACAACAGCAAATGAAATAACTGACAAAGGATTAACTACCAAAATAAACAAGCAGTTCATGCAACTCAATACCAGGAAAACAAACAACCCAATCAAAAAGTGGTAGAAGACCTAAACAGACATTTCTCAAAAAAAGGCAAACAGATGGCTAATAAACACATGAAAAGATGTTCAACATCGCTCAATATTAGAGAAATGCAAATAAAAAACTACCTCACACAAGTCAGAATGGCCATCATCAAAAAATCTACAAACAATAAATGATGAAGAGGGTGTGGAGTAAAGGGAATTCTCTTGTATTGTTGGTAGGCATGTAAATTGATATAGGCCCTACAGAAGACAGTATGGAGATATCTTTGAAAATTAGAAACATAACTACCATATGATCCAACAGTCTCACTACTGGGCATATACCCTGAGGAAACCAAAACTGAAAAAGCCACATGCACCCCAGTGTGCACTGCAGCCCTATTTACAATAGCTAGGACATGGAAGCAACCTAGATGTCCATCAGTAGCTGAATGGATAAAGAAGCTATGGTACATATATATAATGAAATATTATTCAGTCTTAAAAAGGAACATATCTGAGTCAGTTCTAATGAGCTGGATGAACCTAGAGCTTATGATACAGAGTGAAGTAAGTCAGAAAGAGAAAAATAATCATAATGCATATTTATATGGAATCTAGAAGGATGGTAGTGAGGAATCTATTTGCAGGGCAGCAACTGGGATTGGAAGAAAAGTTATGACCAGTCTACACAGTATATTAAAAAGCAGAGACGTTACTTTGCCAACAAAGGTCCATCTAGTCAAAGCTTTGGTTTTTCCAGTAGTCATGTATGGATGTGAGACTTGGACTATAAAGAAAGCTGAGCGCCAAAGAATTAATGCTTTTGACCTGAGGTGTTGGAGAAGACTCTTGAGAGTCCCTTGGACAACAAGGAGATCCAACCAGTCCATCCTAAAGGAAATCAGTCCTGAATATTCATTCACTGGAAGGACTGATGCTAAAGTTGAAGCTCCAATACTTTGGCCACCTGTTGTGAAGAACTGACTCACTGGAAAAGAACCTGATGCTGGGAATGATTGAAGGCGGGAGGAGAAGGGGATGACAGAGGATGAGATGGATGGATGGCATCATCAACTCAATGGAAGTGCGTTTAAGTAACTTCGAGGAGTTGGTGATGGACAGGGAAGCCTGGTGTGCTGCAGTCCATGGGGTCACAAAAAGTTGGACATGACTGAGCAACTAAACTGAATTGAATTGGGATTCCCTCATAGCTCAGTTGGTAAAGAATCTACCTGCAATGCAGGAGACTTGGATTCAATTCCTGAGTCAGGAAGATCCCCTGGAGAAGGAAAGTGCAACCCGCTCTGGCATTCTTATCTGGGAAATCCTATGGACAGAGGACCTAGCAGGCTACAGCCCATGGGGTTTCAAGAGTCGGACACGACTTAGCCTTGATGTACTGCTTTTCCTATTTGGAACCAGTCTGTTGTTCCATGTCCAGTTCTAATTGTTGCTTACCGATCTGCATACAGGTTTCTCAAGAGGCAGGTCAGGTGGTCTGGTATTCCGATCTCTTTCAGAATTTTCCAGTTTATTGTGATCCATACAAAGGCTTTGGCATAGTCAATAAAGGAAAAATTGATGTTTTTCTGGAACTCTCTTGCTTTTACGATGATCCAGAGGATGTTGGCTATTTGATCTCTGGTTCCCCTGTCTCTCTAAAACCAGCTTGAACATCTGGAAGTTCACGGTTCACATATTGCTGAAGCCTGGCTTGGAGAATTTTGAGCATTACTTTACTAGCGTGTGAGATGAGTGCGATTGTGCAGTAGTTTGAGCATTCTTTGGCATTTTCTTTCTTTGGGATTGGAATGAAAACTGACCTTCTCCAGTCCTGTGGCCACTGCTGAGATTTCCAAATTTGCTGGCATATTGAGTGCAGCACTTTCACAGCATCATCTTTCAGGATTTGAAATAGCTCAACTGGAATTCCATCACATTCACTAGCTTTGTTCATAGTGATGCTTTCTAAGGCCCACTTGACTTCACATTCCAGGATGTCTGGCTCTAGGTGAGTGATCACACCAT